GTGCCAAGTGTAGCCATCGAGTTCCGTTGGAGTGCCACTTAGCTTCTTGCTTGCATTCTCCTCACCATGATCGAGGAGGCGTCTTCCCCTCAGAACAACGTCAAGGTTCTGGGCGAGAAATATGCGGCTAAGTGCCAGGAGCTCGAGACCAAAGAGGAGGAACTTGATGCTGCGAACGCCATCATGGCTAAGCTCTGTTCCGATAAAGAGGCGGCTGTTCAAAAGGCTGAGCGGCTGAGAGTCGATCTGATCAAGGCCAACCACGAGGTCTTGGTCGAGAGGGAGAATGGAATTCAGGAAGGTCGTCGGACCTTCTTGAAGTCTCCTACAGGCGCTGCTTTTCTTGTCCACTACCGTAAGGCTGTGGTCGGGGTGTTCTGCAAGTCGTCCAACTTCCTCGACGAGTTAGTTCCTACGGCGCTCCAATACTTTGACTTCGCATGTGACACATGGGAGCAGGCCGTGGTCCAACCCGATTTTCCCAGGAAGATCGACCGGGAGGCAGTGAAGATGACCCTTCCCGACCCCGAAGGCTTCAGTGAGGGCTCCCATCCTGGCCGTGAGTGGTGGACTGGCCTCGAGGCCAAGGCTATTCATGCGGCTGAGCTTTCTTCTCAGCTTGAAGTCCCTCCCTCTCCTCTAGTCGGCCCGACTGAGTTAGTCCAGCCCAGCGGGGCTGATTATGAAGAGTCGGTTGACGAGGAGATAGAGGGTTCAGAAAGCTTCAGTTCGAAAAGTAAAGATGAGAAAAGGAGGGATACTTAAAGGGGAAATAGAGAAACCCTGGCCCTCAGATCAAAGTTAGATTCAACGGATAAGATGGTGCACGAAATACGAAGTGGTGGAGAGAGAAAGCGTCTTATCAAAGCACAAGACCCTATTTTTTTAATTTTGAAATTTGAAAAGATTCAGGCTTATCCAATCAATTCGAAATCTGATTGAGTAGACAAATCACTTTACGAAGTCGAAATAGCGAGCAGGCGTGACGTAGAGCAATGACAGGCGACATGGTATATGAAAAGATTCAAGTGAGATATTCAATCGTAAAAAGCCTTACTCCTAAGCTCAGAATCGCTTCGAGTAATTTTCGGGGGGACTAGATGATATAGCCATACTGTTGTATAACGGTTTATATGAACCAACGGTTCGGAAATAACCGAGTCGACTTAGACAAAGTCGATTTGGTCCACAGGAATTATAATGTCTCTGGTTAAGGGTCCAGGCATCCCTCGATCGACTTCCACGTGTCGACTAGCTATGGTCGATTTCCCCAAAAATTAGGATAAACACATCAGGGCCTACCAACGACTAAAGATGACCCCGTCGACTCAAGTAGATGTCCCGAGTCGGCTGAGGAAGTCCCGAGGCTTATAGATCTTCGTCGATTCGATACACTTCGCTACATCATAAGAAAGATGTTAAGGATAAGAGGGAATCTAAACGCTGACTAGGAGAGGGACGGAATACGAACCGACCAGGGTATCTTGGACATTTTCCATAACTCGGCCAAGGCATTTTGGGAACTTTAGGTAAATGTCTTGCTCCTATATAAAGGAGCTGAGGTAACCCCAAAACCCTAACTCCCATTCATTCCATACTCTCCTCCATTATTGCTGCTGCTGAGAGCAGCTCTCTTGATCTCTCTCACATACTGACTTGAGCGTCGGAGGCTCTACGCCGAAAACCCCTCCTGCGTTGAGTTCTTGTAGGTTTTCTTGTGGACCAGTAGCGGTTTGAAGGTGACAAAGACATATCCCAGCTCATTCTCATCGGTTCGTCCTAGATCTGGGCCTATTTCCACCGGTTTGCTCCAGATCTGTGAAGAGACCCATCAAGGTCCATTCAACCCGTTCGGCCCTTTTCATTGCTCGTTTAGCGTATCCTTTTCTCAAGAACAGTACTCGATGGCTAGAACCCTTTGTTTATGTATTTACGTATGAGATGTTATGTGCTTATGTATGGGATTTCAAATTAATATGTTAGGGTCTCGTATATGTGTCGGTTATGATGTTCTATGTTGAATCATGTTGATGTCTTGTTGAGTTCATGATAAACGTCAACCCTCTCCTTGATATTGGCCCCGTTCGTTTTTTAGCTTTTTCATCTATTTTAGCTGTTTGACTTTTTTAATCAGCTGAAAGAAGTGTTTGGTAAATAGTTGTTACAAATAACTTTTTGGGATAATCTGTTAATTTAAAAAACGTTGCTTAGAGCAGCGTTTAGATTTAGCTTTTCATTATCTAAAAAATAAAAAGTCTTTGTTGCCCTTAATAATGTAGAGTCGTCCTTATTCTAATTAATAAAAAATGTGAACATAAATCTTCAATTTTGTAAGTTTCATTTACTTGCAAATGTAATAGCTTGAGGGGTTTGTGTGTCAGAACTCTCATTATGGATTCATGTGGATCAAAATTATGATTATGAAATTGTGTCATTTTATTATTATTTGTAATTTTTATCATATTTAAATCACTTTAATAAATATGTTTATCATATTTAAATCACTTTAATAAATATTTAAAATATTAATTATTTTATTTCCTCAATAATTATGAATTCAATATAAATTAGAATGATAAAATATGTTGATGTCCTTATAAGTAATTTTACATGTTAACAACTAATTAAAAAAATTAATTTAGCAAACATTTTTTTACAAACCGCTAACACGATCAGCTGGTCAAAACAGCTAATTCAATCTGCTAGTCAAAATAGCTAATACAATTAGCTAACAGCTAACAGCTAACAACTGATTACCAAACGGGGCCATTATGTGATATGATGATATATGTTGTGTCAAAATGCTGTTTTGGTGTATCCTTATGAATTTATTTATCACATGTTATGATTAATTGTCGTATTGGTGTCCCTCTCTTTGGTTTGTTGTCGAAACTGAAGTACCAGGGTTAATTATGTGGAAATCCTAGAGTTCTAAGTAGTTTAGAGAGTCCTTGAGCTATTATTTCAGGTTTGGAGTCGTTTCGATGTTTATATTATGAGTTATGATTTTTTAAAACCGAGCATGCTGCTGAACCTTGATAAAATCACTAAAAATCGTGTATTTGTGCGTTTGAGCTGAATTTGTGATATGTTGTACCTCTTTGGATGTTACATGATTGTACAGAGTCCCTGAATTAATCTGGGAGTTTAACTTATCGAATTGCTGAAAATGAGTTTCAGTCAGAATCTTGTAAAAATCATATAAAATCGAACACTTGGAGTTTTGAGCTGAAATCTTGGGGGTACTGTTGTTTTGGAATTGTCTATGTTGTGTCAAAATTGCAAGTTGAAATTCGAAGTATAGTTGCCTGAGCTCTAAACATCGGATTTTGGTGTTGTTTTTGTTCAATTATTTTAAATCCTCCGGGATGAATTAAGGGCTAAAACCTGGTGAAAATATGTGATTTTATATGCTCTATTACGTGGTAAATTTTTAGCTTAATATTCTGAGCCTAACTCCTAAACAAATGGTAGGTTCGTTTTATAGCCTATGTAGCCGTTTTTCGAACTATTTGATTTTCCTGTCGACTCGATATATGTTTTGCATGTTATATGTGATTTTTATAGATTATATGAGATGTTTTGAGTGTAGTAGTCAACTCCAAGTACTTAACTCTGTTAAGGAATCCACGAGTCACTTAGTCTATATGGTTTTGGCTAAGTAGGTGTTGCTTTGTGTGTTGCTTTGTGTTGTATAGTCCGTTGATAGGACTATCGTAATTGTTGTAGGTTCATCGAGCTAAACTTTTGCCGTAATTCCTTCAACTACCTGTATTTGGCTATATCCCGGTATCCAGGTGGGTTTACTTATAAAATTATCTATGTCATACGTGTAGTTAAATGTTTAGTTGGTATGATCAATGTATGCATGTGAACCATGTGGCCTACCGATGTGAGTTGTTACGACCGTCAGTACAGTTGTCCCCGTCGAGTTACGATATGGTTGCCCTTGCGAGGTAAGTCTCCTTAAGACCTAATGAAAAGTCGTGTCCTTGCGTGGCATGCACTCCCGTCGTTATGGTTTATGCATCCCTTTTCCGCGACTAATGATAGATGTACACATGAGTGAGTCATTGTTGTGATTGTTAGGAGATGAGACATGATGATGATTGATTTATATTCATGCTGCGACCATACCATCTTAACATGTTATTATGTGCATAGTGGTGAGCATTACTTGATCATTTGTGCTCACTCCCACCTGGTCTTCATGGATGCAGTTAAGCAGTTGGCGGGTGACGAGACAAGACGATTCGGTGGTCTTTATTTATTTCATTTAGCTTCCGCTTATTATGATTATTGAGACATGTTGAATAATTTTTCAAACTTATGCTTTGAATTTGGGACATTTGAGATGTTTGGATGTTTTTGGAAATTCTTGAGTACTTGTTGAAATGAATATTCTGTCGTTATTGATTATTCATGCTATTGTGTGTGAGCTGGGTATTCTTGATATATTATGAAGCGGTTAATGAAAACCACATGTTCAAATCGAGTTTATGAAACCCCGTGGGTCCAGATAAGACTTGGACTGAGTAAAATGTTCTTAATACCCATGAATTTCGAAAATGATTTCGAAAAATGTTTCCTTGATTTTTGGGAAGCCTGAGATTTCTTTAAAATTAGAGTGGGGTGTTACAAACAAGCTAAAAATATTTCAATTATACCTGACATATAAGATGTAATCGTTATTACTTTTTTTTTCTGGCTTATTAAATGCTAATAAAATCCTTAATTGAAATTAAATATGCACTTATATTTCTCCTTCCCCCTCTCTCTTAGTCTTCTCTTTCCCTCTCCCCCACTCTCTCTCTCTCTTCTTCTTCTTTTTTTTTCTCCTCCTACAATTTGACGCTTATATTTTCTCTTCCCCGGTAGAATTTTTCTCTTTTTTTTTTCTTTTTTTTTCTCAAGATCAAAACACGACACACAAATACCCCACAACCCCCTAAAGATATCTCAGATAAAACAATCCGCCATAGATAGACCTCAGATCAGAGCTCAAGCTACGACACCGTTCACAGGGTTGTGTCCATCGGAAACATATCCTCAATCCATGACCTCGCAACTCGCACCATCCTCCCCGACCGAGCTAAGGCGGTGGTCCCCGACCGCCGGGTCGCCCGCCTTTGGCCGTCCGACGCCGTCCTAAGTCTCTTCTGGAAGGATCCGCTCCAACCCCACCATCCGGACTCGGCATTCGACCACCGGGAGAGGCATTCAAACTGGGGGAGCGAATCGAGCTGGTCGAAATCTAACAGGGTGGAGTACGACAACTCGAACGACATTTGAAGAGTTTCGATTAGGGTTGATCATGGGACTCGGAGAATTTCGAACCGTTCCGTAAACCGAACCAAAATTACTCCGAACCAAAAAATATCCGTTGACCGTTTGACTTTCTCCGAACCGAAAAAATAATTGGTACGCTTCTGGAGATTTCACAAATATCCGTACCCCGAACCGAACCGAACCGAACCGTCCCGTCCCGTACTGTACCGAACCGAAAAACCGAAATTAAGTACCGAATTATAACATTAGGTGT